GCCATGATAATTTGAAATTAATAGTGCAATCCTATAAATGTCTCCTCAGAAATAAGTTCAACTGAGTTCAATGGAGCTTATTCCCAAATAAGTGGATACAGGATTGAAGCCTCACTGCAAGACTAGAGGAAGATACTGAGCAGTTTTCTCTTTTCTTTTTCTTTTCAATGTTGCTGCTTTTTGCTTTAGTCTGACTTAGTTCAGACATCACATTGCAATTGTTTAACCCAGGAATCACTAGAGACAAGAAAAGCAACAACCGAGCTGCCCCTTGTAAACACTTTGTTTCCACTTTCGGTTAACAAAGGCAATTGTCAATACCTGGGCCACAAAATGCTACATGAGAAATTCAGTATTTACGATTCTTGGAAATAACGCTGATTTATATTAACATCCTGACTTTAAGACACTGATAGTGATGATACATCAATCACAGTAGCCACTGGTCTGGTTCACATGTTGTTTTGTACCAGCCTATTGGTAAGCATTGCTCCTGCTGCAAGTGGAAGGTGCTAAACCATGGTTCGCTTTTGGGTTATTTCTCTGTTATGTTGGAGGAGACACAAACTGCAGTATTAGACAGCCCAGGGACACAAGCATCCCTGGGGCTTTTTTTAGCTACAGGAGAGATGGGGGGTACCTGTACTAATGTTGCCTTGTGCTAAAAAAAAAAAAAAACAAAAAACCAGGGCTTGGGGGAAAAAGAGCTTAGGCCATGATGTTGAACCAAGCTATTATCTGCTCTTAGTGTTCTGTTCTAAGAAAAGCTGTTCAGGAAGGAGCAGAACTGTTGCCTCTAATTGGGGAAATTCTCTTACAGAAAATCTAGGTTTCCTCTCTCCTTCAGTTGACTAGGCATTGTAGCATATGCAAGATGGATTGATGACTGATAATGTATCACTTACCCAACGTCTGCCTTAGATGTTCATGATTCTCTCAAACAGGAAGCATGTCGCTAGTCATTTGCATCCTCTACATGAAATGATGGCCTAATAAGGATTCGGTGTCAGTACTATTACATAATCCTATATTTTTGCAAGGAACTTGAGCAACAAGGGCATACTGCCCATCTAGTAATTCTAGAAAAAGAGCACTGGGCCCAACAGTTTCCCTGGGAAGGAAGCTAATGCACTTCAGATGTGGTCAGTAGTGATAAAGAAGCAATCATTTGTTTCTGATGCTTGCAGTGTACAATTTCCCCCAGTTAATAAGTACTGAATTTGGGCAATATTTATTCTTCCACAATTAGCAGAGTATATTGACTGACGGGAAAAATGCTTATTTAATATTGCTTGGCAAAGATTTGATGGTGAATTTCGTTAGAGAAGCAAGTGATACAAGAGTGTATTAACTATTCTGTACAAACATATTCTGTAAGTCTGTGTGAGTGTTCTATCAGTATTTTTCTATGCCATTTTATATTGCTTTCATGGATGATTTTGAAATCCAGGATTGCCCAGCTTAATCTATTAGATGAATCACCAAATTATGCTGAACAATGGCAGCCTTTCATTCCATTCACACAGTGTAGAGTATTTCCATCTTAAGGACTGAAGGAAAAACCAAGAAAAAATAATGTTGACTCATTTTTGAGCTAAAGAAAGCAGCTGTGGCCTAAAGGTGTGCTCCTGCCTATCTCTGTGTCTTTATTTTATACCAGCCTTCCCCAATTAGGTGGCCTTCAGAGGCATTTGTACTGCAACTCCCAGAATTCCATTCTAGCAGGACCATTGACTGGGAATTCTGGGTGTTGCAGTCCAAACATGCCTGTTTTAGGGTATTTCATGTGTTCTGATTGTGATGCAGTTGTAGCCTAGCTTGATATTAAGTGTAGGTGGTATTACTTGATGTCAGCCGACTTCTGCAATTGTTATGTATTATACTTACACGAAGAGAGTATTTTTGGCAACTCTACCGCCTGACTTCTTGGAGGACCTGAGTTAGGGTTAGCTTCCGGCTTCAGATGATCATATTATTCCAGTCAGAGGCAAGCATGTCTGACTGGTTTTCAGAGTAGATGCTATTAATGGGCTAATCAGTATTTGCTTGAGTGTAGTGTGATTTTTTTTTTAAACTGCTTTACCTTAACTGTTTGAGAAAAGATACCTGCAGGATTTACTTACCAATGGTTGGGGAAGGAAAGGGACATGATCAAGTGTATAAGATAGCCTTACTCGTAGGTAATTTGAGTAATGTAGACTTTACCTGTTCTAGCTTTAATATACCATCTGTTTGAAGTGTTATCTGTGAGTCTGTTATAGATGGGATGGTCAACTAGTAGGCCAAAACATCTGGAAGACTACACATTTTCTACTCCTATTGTAGATGAAGTGGTGTTAAGCCAGAAATTGCAGTGCCTTGAATTGCCATTTTTCTCACTGTACTGATGGCACCCTGGCTGGGAAACTCCCGGCCTTGGGGAAACTGGTCTGGCATCTCCTCTCCTGAGTTCTAGAAAGTCAAGGGAGACAGTTGTTTCAACTGCTGGGCTAAAAGGAGAAACTTAAAATGGGTTTTAAGTTTTGCCTTTTGTGATGTGCTATAATGATTTTTACTGCTATATTGTACACTGCTATGTTGGAATTGTTTGTATTATGAATTGCTTAAGAGACCTATGTTATCAAGCAAGATAAAAATGTAATTAACGTTTCAGCACAGACATGTGTAGACAGCCTGAAAATTTGACACTGCTGTTGGTAACTGTCAGATTCTTGCCAAGTAACTGAGGCGATGTGGGAGAGCAGGGTTGGCCCTGAAAAGAGTCTTTTCCTTTTGACCAGTTCTCTCATGGTGCCCTGCTCATTTTGCATCTGGACAAATGTGTGGTGTTTTTACCTTGCTTGTTGGCTGCTGCAGTCCTCACAAACAGTGATGCATCTACTCTGCCACATGTTAGGTGAATCACCACAGGGTCAACTGGTTTTAATTCCAAGCATTAAATAGTGCCTGTTATATTAATTCAAGTCTGTCTAGCCCTGCTGAAAATGACTGATACAGACACTGTGCAGGAGTGGGGAACTTCAGGCCCATGGGACAAATTAGGCCTCCCAGACTTCCCCACATGGTCCCACTGCCTTCTCCATGCCCCATTTTTTCTGCCAACCACCAATCATTTGATAGTCTTCCTGTTTTTGTGCATGTTTTCCCCCATCCTAAAAAGCTAAAATGCCTTACCTAAGGCTTCTTTACTGGCAGTAAAAGCTTTACGCTACAGTATGCTGGTATGTATTGTGTTTTGGCCCTTGTTTCTTTTGACCCTCTTTACCAATGGAATGTAAAGGTAAAGGTTTCCCCTTGATGTTAAAGTCCAGTCATGCCTGACTCTAGGGGGCGGTGCTCATCTCCGTTTCCTAGCCGAGGCAGCCATTGTTTGTCCATAGACAGTCTCCGTGGTCATGTGGCCGGCATGACTAAACACCGAAGTGTACGGAACACTGTTACCTTCCCACCGAGGTGGTACCTTTTTATCTACTTGCATTTGGATGCTTTCGAACTGCAAGGTTGGCAGGAGCTGGGACGAAGCAACAGGAACTCACACCGTTGTGCAGATTTGAACCGGTGACCTTTCAGTCAACCAGCATAGCAGCACAGCAGTTTAAACCACTGCGCCACCTGCCAGCCTTGCAGTTCAAATGCAAGACAAATGCTGGCTCCCTCGACTAGGAAACGGAGTCAGGCATGACTGGACTTTAACATCAAGGGGAAGTCTTTACCTTTTACCTTTACCTTACCAGTGGAATGTGCTAAAGAGCATCTACAAAATTTGAATTTAGCCCATAGGTTGAAAAAGGTTTCCTGCCTTGCTAGGCCCTAGGGGTGTTTTGGCTCAGAGGCTTTTCTAGCCTTGCTAGTTGATGTTAGGAACTAAACCTAGACCTTCTGCATGCCAGGTAGGTGCTCCACATTGGCCTGTATTAATACTTTCCCTTAATTTGAAATCCCTAATCTGCTAGGATGTGTAATTTTCCAAAAGGTTTAAGAACCTGAATCTGTCATGTGAGCCAGTAGAAGGAGTACCTATGTTTTTCACAAATATGAGCTCATCATCATATATGAGTGGGTTCATCAAATATTGGGTATCCCTTGGTGGCCAGAGCAGGATGATGCCCCTCAGCCAAGAGTTGCAGTCTTGTCTCTAAGCTTGTGCTGCACCTCAAACACAAAGCAAGATCAGGAAGAAGCCAGCATCCTGCTGATGCTGTCCCTGGCTAGCTTGGAGATGGTGAAAGGATGTGGAGCAGGGGTCCTCAAACTTTTTCAACAGGGGGCCAGTTGAAAGGTGCTGGCAAGGGGGGGCGGGGATGCATGGCAAGGTGTCGGCTTGCTTCTCAGAGTCCAAAATGATCTCCCCATGAGCAAGCTGTCCAAAACCTCTGAGGCAGCCCAGATAAATGGGTATGGTGGGCTGGATCCGGTCCACGGACCATAGTTTGAGGACCCATGATGTGGAGAGATAATAAGCACTTTTTCTACCAATAAATGCCTTAACACTCAACAGGTTCAGACACAAGCATTTCTGCTTCCTGGCTTTAGGTTGCTGTCAAAGAGAGGAGGTGGAGGTTTGCTCTGGTTCTCCATCTGCAACCAGAAATGGTAGAGTTTAAACAAATTACAAATATGGTTGGGGAGTGGATGGGATCTTCCTGAGACAGTCATCATGGTAGGGAGGCAAGCGTGTTTGTTCAGCGCCATGTGCGATCAACGAAAAGAAGTTCACAATAATACTGCCATCATAGAGGAGCTTGTTAACAATTAAGATATTACCAAACATCTATATAACTCTGGCTTGCTGTGTGAACATGTGTGTGTGTTTAATCGTACTTGACCTGCTTCCCTTACTACATTTCTGTTGTAAGATGAAGATCACTGGAGGCAAATTATGCTATCTGCTGTTTATTTTTCTGTTTAATTACCGAGGAGGGCCTTTCCATGTATTAGGATTTTCTTCTTTTGTATCTATTCTAATTTTATGTCTCCCCCTCCCACTTTCTTTTTTTAAGATGCAAATGCTGGACAAATTCCCAACAGAAGGAGGACAGAAGGACCCTAAACAAAGGATCATCCCCTTTCTTCCAGGTTTGTAAGATGAACACCACAGCTGTCAAATGAACCTTGTGCTCCCCTCCACCTTGCGTACTACGTTGAAGTGGTGCTGGATCCGAGCGTTTTTCTGGGCTACGGAGAAGGACCAAGGTTCATAGAGATTTGTTTGAGCAGGGAATTTTAAAAATGGTTGGTGGGTGAATTCAGTATGAGGCTTGCTTACTTTGTTGAGAGGCATTCCACAGAGATGGGTTGAAAGGCATTACAGTGGTTTTTTTAATTATATTTTATTGTGAGTTTCACTAAATCAAAACAAAAGCAATTTAAAAAAATGCCATTCCTATTTTATGCAATGTTGAGGGGAGAGGAATACTTAGTCACTAACAATGAAACAAAGCAGGCCCAGCCGTCAGTATGCAAGAGGAGAGTCATCTGGGCAAGTAGTTGAAGAGTTAGGATGGTCTGTATTCCAATAAAAGCAAGGTTGCCCTTTTTATTTAAGTCTCAAAGACTAGCAAGCCTTGTTGACATTGGTCATCTACTCTGGTCTCTGAGACCCACCTCCCCTTTCCTACTTTTCTCTTGATTCTTCCATTTGGCTTTGTTCCATTCCTTAAACCAGCGGGCAAGGGGGGAAACCAGGGAAATGGCACACAGTTGGCCTTGCAGTATGTCAGCACAATGCTATGTAACACTGATAGAAGGGTAAATACTCCTTTTTAGAATGGATCTTTTCTGAACTACAGTACAAAACTTATAAAGTGACAGGAGCAGTTATCAGATCTGCTTCTTTGAGAATAATGACTTCTACTTTTACCTTCATCCGAGTTAAAGGCTTTTCATCTGGAATTTCAGGGTAAATGAAAAGAACTGAGTAGGTATATCAGTTCATTAAGAAGGATTTATATCTTTGTTTACTTGATACGATAGGTGTTCCAGCTCCTTGACAAAATTAGACAGGAATTTAAGTTTTTAGACAGATTACCTTTTTCTGATATACGTGTCACAATCACAGGGATGTATTGTCTTTTTGGTTTTTGATGTACAACTATCATGATTGCAAGTTTTGCTTGTGATTCCTTCTGTTGTTTCCTAAACTGCATAACCCATCTGCATGCACTAGATGGCATCTTGCCCATTTCTATTAAATATGCAATCTTAATCAAAGTATATTGATCCATAGTGAATGCATGTATTTTGGGTCAGTAAGGAATTAAGGCTTAGCTGTGCTCCATCCAGGCAAGGTTCTAGCTAATCTTCATTCCTACTGAATCGAGTTGCTGTTAAAGGTGTAGTATGAACTTAAATTCAGTATAGTCTTATATTTTAAAAAAGGTAAATAGCAGCATTCATCTTTTTAAAAATACATTTTAATGCAAAAATGTCCATGCTTACCTTTTAGTAGCATCTAACTTTACAATGATAAAACGTTTTATGTACTCAGAAAGGAACATTCCTAAGTCAGAATAGAGTTCCTGTAAACCAAGGCTTGGAAGCCTCTTTGAAGAAGCTCTTAGGTAGTGATGTGTGGGCCTGAAGTCAGAGGAGCCAAAGGCATAAGGGATACTGGCCCCTTGCCCAGTGCCAGTGTGTTTAAAGTTCTTCTGTATTGGTCTCTGTGTATCACACAGGGGTTTTGCACATGCACAGGGCCTGTTGTTGGGAGGAATTTCCCAGTGTCTGGTGGGAGCCCTGTCCCCTCTCCCCTTGGTCTATGAGGGAGGAACTTATAGCATCCCCCCCCCCAGTTCTTTTCCAAGTGGCAGAAGCATCTCAGCCTTTAGAATGGGGTAGGGGGGACTGCAAAAGCCAGGATCCACCTTAGAAAGGGCATGAGCTCAAAGGAAGGGGATGTCCATCTGGGGAACTTTGGGAGCTCAGTTGAAACTCCAGAAGGGATGGATTTGACCTGTCAGCCTAAGGTTCCCACCCATACCTTAGAAGAGTAGTGTGGGGTCCGGCATTTTTTAAAATTGTGTTTTACTTCTTTTTCAAGTTTAACACTATAAAATGGTCTCTGAAAAATTCTTGGAGAAGGAATTGTTGTATCCCATGCTGAAAATACTGCAGTCAAATACTACTAAATGTACCGAACATATGTTGTTAGACTAGCTGGTTGTCATAATAGGATAATTGGAAGTATGTTTCTTGTAGGCCTTCTCAACAGAGTGTGTGTGTGTGGGGGGGGATGGATATGTAAGAAACGTAGCCATTATTTGCAAGCAATACTGTTGCATTTTGTGAAGGTGTTGCTGCTTTTCTGCATTTGTTTGTCTCTTGTTTGCCAATACTTGATTGTTGCGGGTATGTTATACGTCTGAAATGTAATTGTGAATGCCTCAATGGCGGCTGTACACTAGTGTCTGGGACTAGTGCCTGGTGGTGAGATGCAGTTTTCTGCCCATGTCTCCCCCACCCCCCTCCCCCATTCTCTTCCCATGCCATTTTTAAGCTTATAATTTTAAAAGCATCAACAATAGTTACTGCCAGTTTTCCAGTGAAAAACTTCCCACTGTGTCACACCAAAAAGATCACCGATAGCCTTTTTAAGTGTGTATTGAAAAATGCAGAAAAAAAGTTTGTTTCCTGCATATGCTAACTCCTTTCCAACATGGATTTTCTGTCCCTACACTTGATTGTGGGGCCTCTTAAGCCTTGGATGGCGCTGATTATCCAGATCAGTTTTAATCTCACTTCTGACCTGAGATGCAAACAGCCATGGACATCCTGGTGGATGCCTTTGCCGGACAATGGTCAGGGGGAACAGTACCAAGTTATGGGTGTGGGCCCATTTTTCCTGCAAAAGAGACTTTTAGGGGTGTGGAAACAGATTCTGAGTCAGGTGAGGGTTAGAACTTGTAGCTGGGATGCTAAGACCTGTGGACCCAGAGATAAGCAGCATGGCAGTGGAAAGTGTCTCAGGTTCATGCATCATGGAAGTGCAAATTAAACCTGCTAATGAGGATCAGACAGCGCCAATTCCTTGTTCTGGTATCAGTGGACCAGCTAAGAAGCGTACAAATGATTGGCCTTGAGATAAAAGGAGCCACTTAAGAGACATCTGTGGGTAGATTGAATGTGGAAGGGAGAATGTCTATTTAGTTTGGAATCAACATCTTAGCAACAGGTTGCATATTAGCACTGTACCTATGCTTGTTTCTTTTGTAAGAAACTTATACAATAAAATACATTTGTATTTTTAAGCCAGTCTTAAGGTATGTACTACCTTAATAAAGCTTTTAATTGGAAGGCCATTGTCTTGGTCCGCTTGGAAGAAGGGGGAGAATTACAGCTTCAGCAGATACTCTGCTGGACCTCTTAAGTGTACTTTTATCCTGTTGGTGTGCTGTGCTGCTCTTCTGTACTTTGTCTTCAGAATGGGACTTGGAATCACAATGTTATTGTGGTTCGGTTCCCATTTGGCTGGGTTGACCCAAAAGGTAGTATTGTGGGTTTCTGCATTCCACCTTGTCCCCTTTACCTTCGTTAATTTCTGTGTGAAACCAGTGGGAAAATCATAAGGCATTGACTGAAAAGATAACTATAGACCTCTTCTCTGTGTGCTAGTCTCAAGGAGGCAATGAAGATCCTGAACAAGTGCCTGTAGCTTGGGGATGGATGAAGGCAAACAAGCAGATGTGGGAGCCCTGTAAGTTCAGAAGTCTGAAAGGAGTTGGGTTCCACTTTGTATGGAATTGAACATATCTTGAAAGTTCAAGTTGGGGTTCTCCAACCTTTGGGGTCAATATGTATGTTTGGAATTTTGAGAAAGATGCTCAAAAGTGGCTGCTCTGGGTGGGCTTGGCCATTCACAAAATGGCTTCCATAGAGGGCATGACCAGGCACAAAACATCAATTTCTTAAAAAGCAAACCAGTTGGGACAAAAAAAAAGCCAGGTAACTGAGCACAATGCAGAGATGGGGTCTGAACCCGAAATGCTAAATCACTTGTCCTAAACCCAACAGAAAATGCATTTCACAATAAGGAAACCTGTGCGATGCTTGGAGAGACATATAAAGGCAATTGCACACTCATACGCTGCACAACCCTCCCCCGCCAAGCAACCGCAAGTCACACCACAATCTAAAAACAATGCAAGGCACCCTCCTTCAAACCCCTCCTGGCAAAGCATGTGTCATACCAAAGCTAACACATGTGCCGTCTCATAGCACCTCACAGTGCCAATATGGAAATGAGTAGGAAGAAGGGAGGGGAAATACTACGAAGTTTGGAACTGAAATCATAGCATATTTTTCAAAGGGAGAAGCCCCATGTGAGGTGTTCTGAATTAGGATTTAGGTAAGACCAGTGAACTAGAACCCTCACCCCAAACCTTCCATTGTGTCACCTTTCCAGTATAGCATTATAGTGCTCCAACCATTTTTGTGCTGCTTAAAGTGAAAAGGTGTATTGGCCATAGATCTGGTTAAGGCTTTTGAAAGATTCAGTTTGCAGTTGAATGTTTGCGCAAACACAGGCATAATGGCAATTCACTAACCATCGTAGTTACATGCAGGAGGTGCATTCTGGTTTCCAGCTGTTCCCTGGATTGTGGTATCAGCAAAACAGGACTAGGCCTGGCATAAACACAGATAAAAAAGAGTGTGCTGTGCAACTTTTCATGCCAGCAGAGTGGGTTGGGAGGAGCATAGCATAGACCCAGCTGCCAGCTTCTAATACTTGAACAAACAGGAATTACAGTTTGGCTGCATTCTGTTTCTCAAGTGTCGTAACCCATATTCAGAAGGCAGAGGAAGGTTCACTTCCACAAAGGTTGCCGTCACTGGTGCTTGCTAAATGCCTTCCCTTTTCTTCCAGAAACTAAACTGAGAACTTTGTTGTTGGTGAAATGTTTTTTTAATATGTATAATTTTCAACAAAACCAAACATCAGAGAAAACCATTGAGAATACGAAACAAAGAATAGAACCACAAACATGTCTACAGAGAAAAGGAGGGAAACAAAACTGGAATGATGGCAAACTTCTTCTAAACTGGACTCAGATACGAAGCAAAATTTTACAAATGCTTGC